CAAACCAAACCAAACCAAACCAAACCAAACCAAACCAAACCAAACCAGCTCAGTGTGGCTGGTTGTAACAACTCCAGATCACTCACCAGAGACCCAGAACCTGGGAGCCAGCCTGGAACCTTATAAGGCCTCAGTTTTCCCTTGGGTGAACTGAAAGTGTGCTTTCTCCTCAGAGTTGAGAAGATGGGAGGTGGGAACTGAGTCCTGCAGTCATTTTTATACTCTTTTGTTTTCAGGTTGAAACAACGGTGCGGAGAAAAGGCCGAAAGTTCTAACTTGTGCCATTTGTGGGTGGAGGTTGGAGAAGCCCCCGTTGGAGAAGCACTAATAAGTAATTAAGTAAAATGTTTTCTGTGGCCTAGCTAGGATTTCGTATCTCCACGGGGCTTGGGGAAGAAGGGTCCCAGAGTCATGTGGGAGAGCTTTCTCCGGGCTCGTTGGTGTAAACAGAATTATCATTCCAGAGGCAGTGGGATACACGACCCGGGTCCAGGGGGCGGACCCTGCCACCAGTTTAAGGAAGCGCCTTTCTCTGGGTGCCTTGAGCCCTGGCTTAACATCAGTCACAGGACCCGGGACATTCGGACTCTCCAGAGCGGATTCCCAGAACAGAAGCGGGCTGGAACCGTCGGAGCTCCGCAGCGCTGCGAAGGAGGAGAGCTCGGGCTCTGCCGCACAGCCCCGACCGTCTGTGGCAAAGGCGGACCCAGGCCTGGACCTTGCGGGCGCTCCCGCCCTAGGGTGGCGCTCCACGCTTTCGGCTCCTAATGTTTCCACCCAGGACATCAAAGGCGTCAGCTCCATCACGCGCCGCGGGCTGGGGAGGGATAGGGTGGGGTGGACAGCGCCTTTTCAGCCTCCCTGGCCCGCGCAGGCCAATTCGATCCCGGAATCCTGGTGCTCCATCTGCCTTTTGGTTCTTCGGGCTGAGACCGAGCTCTGTGTAATGCCCAGGAGAATCCAGGAAGCCCAGAATTTGCAGGGATGGTTGTTCGTCTTTACTTCGGAGGAAAGAAACTTAATTACTCAATTACAAGGCACCGTAGAAAGGCGCTTCTTTAAGCTGGAGTTCTGCTCCCTGGGCCCCGGTTCCTGTATCCTACTCCCTCCGGAGTGTAATCTGTTTACAGTATTTAACTGAATAAACAAGCTCCTGGGATCCCTGTACAGTGAAAGCCCTGTGGAAACTCCAGCTAGGTCACAGAAAACGTTTACTAATTACTTGATAATTCTTTTTGGACATCTCACCTCTGCCCACAAGTGGCACAGGCTGGAAGGCTTGTCTTTTTTGCTAGGTAGTGTCAAAAAGACGTTACTCCCCTTCCCCTTGAGGAGAGACTGGTCCAGCACTAGGTTCTAGTTCCACAGTCAAAGGCACAGAAGGATAGATACTGCGATCTGCCTCCTTTCCGTGGGTCCTGGATGCCTCCAGCCGATCCGGTGGCCATGGTGGTGCCCTCTGCAGCTCTGTCCCGCGGCGGAAAAGAGGCAGGTGGTGGTGGGTTGCGTGGGGGTTGGTGGGGGTGGGGCGGACTAGGCGATGTTTGAGCCGGGATGCCCAGAGGGGGTGGTGGTGATGGTGGGAGTGGTGGTATCTGTGTATTCACTCTCTGCCTGCCTTTTGAAAGTTTTGTTCATTCTTTTGTTTCTGTCTGGAGTCCTGGGACCCGTGTGTTGATCTCACCTTCAGTTAATTTGCCTGTCCCAATTCTTGACTTGGAA